TTCTAATTATGTTTATAAACAATATGCATCAAGGTTCAATTCCAGCCCCCCATTATTAATGGATCCATTTGGGAGTTTCATTTTAAATTATTACCTTTCAACTATAAATAATAGTCTCACAGAATAATGATAATAATGATAATGATAATAATTTTCGTAACAAAGCAGAAAATTAATCACAATCGAATCTTGATCATATTATGGATAGTATAGCTTATGTATTATTTTAGACAAAATTTATACAGTCATTTATCATTGGATCGTTTTAATTGTTAAGCTAACTGATTAGTCAGTTCAATGACTTACTGAGGTACCGTGCGTGCTGTAGAACTTGCGTATCTGTGTCATTCAGTTATATCGCGTTTGTAGAATACAAGAAGATTTGGTAATGCAACTCATGATCTCCGAAATTCGGTTATTATTTGATACTGAAGCAACTAAACAATCCTTTCTATACATTAGATTCTGATTGGTATATCCATGTGTTATCAAAGAATATATGTTTCAAAGAAATCATGTTTTTCATCGCAGCTGCTCAGTATCAGGAATGGAATTTCGTTGTCACCATAGTTAGCCGACGAAGTAAAATTGAAGTATGAGAAATGTCCTTCATTCGAATATTTTTGGATTTTTACGATTCCGTTTTAATTATGGACTATCTTATGAATAACACTAAATGACTGAAATTCACACTTTTTTAACAATTGATAGGATCAGTGGTTTAGTTATTGAAATGTGAAAGCTGTAGATGTAAGCATAACAGTCTTTGATTTTCATTGCTACAGATTGGATTGGAAATACTAAGCATTTATTAGCATTAGATATATTAATAATGATTACTTCATTTAAACGGTAAACACGATAAATTCACTTAGTATTGTTTTGTTTGAATCTTCCTATTGATGTTTTTAGAACTGCAACTGGTCAGTCTCTAATTGGCATATGTGCATACTGTGCGTATTGACTCGATATAGCCTAAATTCACAAGCATTGTAAGCAAAGATGGATGGTGGCTGGCAGTGGAATCCAGGACGCGCGTTTCGTCCTATTTGGGACTCGTCAGCTGGATTAACCTGCATCTCAGAGTTGATACTCACTCCGGGACTCGAATCCAGCACCTTTCGCTTCAAACGCCATTGCGTTGTCCACTCGGCCACTGAGTCCTGATAGCCACTTGTTTGTGCAAGTGAATTTAAACTTCATCCTATTGCACAAACAATTGGCTATCAGAACTCAGTGGCCGAGTGGATAACGCAATGACGTTTGAAGCGAAAGGTGCTGGGTTCGAGTCCCGGAGTGAGTATCAACTCTGAGATGCAGGTTAATCCAGCTGACGAGTCCCAAATAGGACGAAACGCGCGTCCTGGATTCCACTGCTAGCCACTATCCATCTTTGCCTACCTTGCTTGGTAAACTTAATAGGTTACTTGCAGAGATGTAAGAAATTAAATAATGTTTAGAACTAAACTGCTAATTCGTCTAATTGTGTTTCAGATTGCACTTTGCATTGCAAAAATTGTCCCAATTAGATCGGAGTTTGGTTTCGGTTTACTTACAATTGCTTGTTCTCCGGGGAGTGGTTCCAGTAATGGTTGGTCTTTTATACTCGGTGGTGACATCAACTTGAGTATGTTAATGACATTCATCAGTAATTTAGCAGCTCTTTGTAAGTTAACCTTACATATATTTTTTTCCCTTGAAGTTATATGATATAATATATGTGTACTAAATAAATAACCGCTCATTAAATAAATTATCATTAATTTGAACTTTGTTGTAATGAAGACGTATAATACTGAAGATCGTTTCAAATGAACCAACAATACATTAAATCCTATTTAGTATTTTATTTTAAAATTTTATTTTAAAAAAATATTTCTGCCATTATCAGATCTTGAATGAGGACGATTTCACTCTGAATTGCTAAACCCATTCTTTCGTAGCTCAGTTGTCGCTCATAATTAACTAGACATCACTGACCGCCATCATTCTGTTTACATTGTGGTTTATTAAAAACGTTAATCGAATACACTGTACAAACCTATGTTTAAAAACCATACGTTAAATTCCCGTTTGGTTAAGGACGCTAGTTACATACTGATTACAGTAAAATAAGTATGTTAAGTACATCGTTATTTCATCTTGAGCTCCAATACATAAGACAAAGAATAGTGGTAAAATGACAAAGATTGAAGGCATTTTATATGATTTGTAATATTGATAAATTACGTTGAGTTAAATCACGTGATACTGGTGTTAGATACTTAAAAACCACCGTGTAAGAATTTAGCTAGATGAAGAAATAAAAACCTTTATCGATTATTGTGCAGTAACCAGTGTTATGTTCTACAAAAAACGTGTAGGATAGTCTATCCAGAGAAGTTAAACGACTATATATATATATATATATATTTCTTTATGTCTTAATAATGAACACCAATTCAACGATTGCTTGCCGGGAGTTGATCGTTCTAAGTATGTTATCCACGATAAACAACTTTGAAGTTCGCATAGAAAATATATCAGGATAATACTAGCAGACACTAAATGACAAATTTAGCGACCAGTTACTCATTGAAGATAGAATTTCAGATGAAAGCATTTCTACATTTTGATATAATTACCTCACATATTATTCTGCATCAGAAATTGTTATGTCTAGAGCTTTGATTCTTGCGAACCCGCAAAGTCGCAAGAGAGAAGACAGAAGACTAGTAAGTAGGGATTTTATTCCCCAAAACAGTGTCAAATATAATACAAAGATCTCATGTATTATAGTCTTTTGGCTGAAATTAAATCATCATTTCGGACAGTCAATAGGAACATAGGGGATCATTCTTATTCATCCAATAGGGAGGCTACGTGTCGACATTCTAGATTGTTCCCCTAGTGGTAATTGGATGGAATGTCTTCGGCTCATTCTGAGCTTCTTGAGGCTTCCTTGAGTTTGTCAACGAGCCATCCTTACATAAACAGACATATCAACTTATTATCTATTTGACATAAGACTGTAGTGCCGCGATTCGTTAATCGTTTACTTCGATAACCGTTATTATACCAATCTTAACGGTGTATAATATCAGAAGACAAAGGGAAGCAGCAACTACATTTTTATTGATAAATAACATGGGCTAGAAGGCAGTGAGCACATTAGCAAATGCAAGCAAGCGAAGGAAAGATGACGCATAGTGGAGATGGCTGGGAAGCCAACTCGATATGAGCAAGCATTACTCAATATTTATAATCAGGCAAAAGTGAATGACAGACATATGATGAATAGGATACGAAGTATGCACATATATGCTCATATAAAAGTATAGACAATGTTAATAAGGAAATGATTAACAAGATCAAAATATGACTAATAATGGATAAGCGAATTGGCTTGGCCAGCAACTAGAATAAAGTATATGGGCTTAACATATAAACTGATACTACAAGACTTAGTAATTTCAGACAGAATGAACATTGAGTAGATTATTTATGATTATAAAAGTAGTCATTTATATATCGCTTCCTCATGCTCTCTTTTCTTCCGTCTCCTACGTCTGTTACTCCAAATGGAGCATAGGATGCCGACCAGCACTCTGCAAACCACTCTGTCCTGGGCCTTTTTTATGGTTCTGTCCAATTTTTGCTCATTCTTCTCATGTTTGTCTTCATTTCTCGGTGTGATGTGTGCTTTGGTCTTCCTATTCCCTTTTGGCCTTCAGGATTCCAGGTGAGGGCTTGCTTTGTGACACAGTTGGGTGATTTCCTCAATGTGTGTCCTATCCACTTCCAACGCTTTTTCCTGATTTCTTCTTCCGCTGGAATCTCGTTTGTTCTCTCCCATAGTAGCTTGTTGCTGATATTGTCTAGCCAACAGATGCGAAGTATTTTGTATAGACAGCTGTTAAATAACACTTGTATCTTCTGGATGATGGCTTTCGTAGTTCTCCAAGTTTCCACTGTCTCGACATTTGTATTGGAAATTCTGATCTTGATGTTGGTTGACAATTGTTTTGAGTTCCAGATGTTCTTAAAGTGTAGATATGCTGCTCTTGCTTTGCTGATCCGCACCTTCACACCTGCATCAAAACCGCTGTGTTAATCAATGATGCTGCCCAGATATGTAAAGGTTTTACATCCTCCTAAGCTTCTCCGTCAGGTGTGATCCGATTGATGCATGTTGTGTTGTTTCGGAGAGTCTGGCTTCGCCATTTGTGTATGCTGAGACCTACTGCTGCTGAGGCTGCTGCTACACTGGTCGTCTTCTCCTGCATTTGTTGTTGTGTGTGTTAAAGGAGCCATATCATCTGTGAAGTCTAGATCGTCCATCTGCATCCTATCTGTTCACTCTATCTCATGCTTCCCCCAGATGTTGTTTTCTTCATGATCCAGTCGATCACCAGGAGAAAGAGAAAAGGTGAAAGTAAGCAACGTTTTCTCACGCGAAATCATGAAAAACTTAAAATTCAATCTTTTCCAATTCGTTAGAATTCTACATACATATTAGTGTTGTCATCTTGATTTTAGATAAAAAAGGAGAGTACATTGTTATTCTGGTACAGTGTAAAAGCCTACTGATGTTTTAGAAACGTACATGAGATGACGATTATTGAATTTATTATTCCATTTTATTTACAAGCTACACGCTTTCATGTAACTTGAAAGAGGTAAGTCTAATAAATAATTACTTAAGACAAAAGGGAGGTTAAAAGCTTCAATTACAAATGTGATGCTTCTGTGATTAGCTTCCTTTTCGTAAATAACAAAATGGAAACATTGAAACCTATCAAAATGAAATATATCACGTGGCTTGAATACCATTGGAACACTCTCATAAAGGAGTGTTTTGGGGATCAGACATAACTGAAGAACTGTTTCCATCTATAAGTAGGTTGCCAGGCTCTATCCTCTTTTATAATAATGCACATGACTCTATATATTTTACATGTTATAAACAATGGTCATTTTTACACTTTTATTTTGTTTCTTTTCCTTATTCACTCACAGTTATGATGCCACTTCTTCTATTCGTCTACGGTCGGTTCTTCAATGATGCGATCAGAATACAAATTCCATACGTCCGAATTTTCTTGCAGTTGTTACAAATAGCAATACCAGCATTAATAGGTTTAGGTCTACGTATATGGAAACCGAATTTAGCTATGAAATTAGCTAAACTAGCCGGTCCAGTTTTTAAATTTAAAATAGTATTCTTTTTAACCGTTGGTGTGTACGTTAATTGGTCATTGTTTCGCCTATTAGGTGCTTATCCTTTACTTATTCTTATATGTGCATTGTTACCTTGGCTTGGGTTTTGTATCGGTTCATTATTCGTATTCATTTTACGACAACCATGTCAATCAATTATTACGGTTGCTTTAGAGACTGGTATACAAAATACTGGTATTGCAATTCTTGTCCTATTATATGTTATGCCCAAACCAACTGGTGAATTGGGCGCTATTATGCCAATTGCTGTTGCTCAATTAACGCCTATACCGTTGTATTTAATATACTCATCCATATTAATTAAACGCAAATGTTGTAAACAGCAGAAAATATCTAATAAAATCGAAACACCTGTTACTACAGAGATGAGTAACAATTGTAATCATGACGTAACGAAGACAGAAAATGATACCAGTGTACCACAAACAAAAGTACCGTGAACAGGAGCAACGACAACTGTTAGTGGCATTGAAACTCATTAAATAATATAAGATAGCGTTTTATAAAATCATTTTCATGTTGTTGTTTACGAATTGTTCTTTATAGGATTCTGGTATTTGCTATACCAGATGTGTAGATCACTGACATAGGAAATCTGTATCGATGTATCAAGAAGTATTTGATTTAAGCTAAAGAGTTATTGTGAGAGATGTGCAGCATAATGTACCCACTCATGATCTAGTGCAAATGGGTAACCGAACGCCTTCAATTGGGGTGTGTCGGGTAGAAGTAATGAGGTCAGCATCAATTTTGAAGACTTACATAACCATTTATTTTGGAAATTCATTTACCGCATAAGCCCAAACCCCCTAGTGGGGTAGTGATGTCCCTAAGACGTGATCAGACAGAAGTTCAAATCCAACGAGTGTGTCGTTGATAAACACGCTCCTGACAGCTTGCTACGTCTAACAGAGTCTGGTCGTCTTTTCATACTCTAAGAAGCCTTGTAGTATATAAAAAAGTAGAAAGTGTTCAATGAAGATTTCGGTTCACCGAGTTTGTCTGCTAGTTTTCGTCTTCCCCAGGACCATTGGAAAAGTCAGTCAGCTACATCGTTGGACCAGGCACATATATTCATCGGTCCAAATTGCCAAACCTCATTAGCACAATAAGATGAACATCAAATTCATAGGAACAGTTACTTCAATGGTTGCATATAAGGATATAATAGAGGAAGTTAGAATTCGTTGGTAGACAGAAAGAAAGCAATGCCAACCTCATAGTTTAAGGGAAGATAGAGAGTGTATACACCTACTCCATTGTTATTGATTCTGAGCCATGTCACCTAGAGTCTCCAACCATGGTTACGATAGTCACGCTGAACCCAACCAAGTAATCTGAATCTATCAGCATTGCTCAGAATAGAAGTTAGTGACTTCAAGCACTGATGCCACATTTTGGTTTGGTCACCTTTGACTTTTATCCAACCATTCGCAACACTAGTCAGAATAGCTCGTCGTGGTAATCGGTGTCCAATAATACGTAATATGTGGTCCAACCATCTCAGTCGATTAAGATCCAAAACTTTATCAACTGATTTATCATTATTTCCTAATATCCTGCGTCGAACCTCACTATTACTTACTCGGTGATCCCAGCAGATGCGAGCAATATTCCCAAGACATCTGTGGTTAAATACTTGTAACTTACAAGTATCTTCTACTCTTAATGGCCACGTTTCGCAGCCATAAAGTAGGACAGAGCGAACTGCTGTGCAATATACTCGTCCCTTAATTGATAGACGGATATCTCACATTTGCCATAGATGGCAAAGGCCAAACGAGCTTTTTGAATCCATGCACAGATTTCGTCAGACACCAACCGATCAGACTTCCAAGATAAGTGGAGTTGTCTACGCGTCCGACTACTTCACTCCCTGTCCTTAGTTCAATTGTTAACGAAGGCCAGTCCTCAAGCGACGATTTGCATTTTAAAAAGAGAAACGAATTCCAAACATCCTGGCATTGTTACTCAGTGCTACTAACATTCTAAATTTCATCAGTATCTTCACCAAACGGAACCATATCATCTGCATATCCCAAGTCGATAAGTGAACCTCTCGGTTGGAGATCAATCACTGGAAAGCCAGTCAACGAGAATGTTATTTCCAGAAGTAGGTCTATGGTGAAGTTAAAAAGCAATGGATATAGTGAACAGCCTTGTTGGACACCACTTGAGGTTGCAAAATCAAATGACAATTCACCATAAGTTCTGACTCGATTGGTATTAGTTCATGTCGGAATACACGTGAGTTTACTAAAGCAAGAAAAACGTGCGATAAACCCAGTAGAACTGTATTTATTATTGATTTATTTGAAGGGGCACTGAATACATATGCACCACACAAGTCACTTAGCTTGTGTGTGGGCTGTGTTACTGCCCGGATGCTCAAAGCGAAACAGGTGGTTTTCTTAGGAGGACACACTCGGGGTCTTCGACCCGAAGGTCTGATCCCTAGGACAGTGGAGCAACATCAGGAGATGCATTCCCATGATGGCCGGTGACCAATAATTGGTCAATACGCCATCTGTTCCTTCAGGATTCTGGAGCTCGTGTGCACCATTGATTTGGAATCAGGGTTTTCTTACTCCTCTGGGTGAACTTTCCGTGTCTACCGACCTGGTTAAAGCTCCGAACATTCGCTTTCCATCCTCTCAATTTCGTAAACAGCACCCCGCCAAGATAAGGTAGGCGGTAAGGATTTCCTAGCAGTAGCTGTATACGCGTGACCATGTGAGAGCATATCAAGAGGGATAGCTAAATCCCCCCACCCTAAGTCGTACCATGGCACTAAAGGGCTGTGTATATGTACCATGCTACGGCGAAAATAATTACATACATAAAGAATTTCTGGAAATTTGTTCGTCCTAGACCTCTCCAATCGTCATAACTACAAGGTCAACATTACCTAGAACACTTCACTGTAACGCTGGAATATTCACGTTTCTATCTGCTTTGACAAGCAAACGGTGTTTCGATAGCACAGAAAATTTACCAATACGATAAAACTTCTAGTACAACCTGATTCAAACGTCGCTGTAGAAGACAGTTGTCCACAACAAGCTGTAACGGAAATTGTTCTAGGTTTCATTTATTTTCAGACGTACAGGATATGCTGATAGACTGTTGCATGCACTTCGAGATTATGGCTAAGTGCTATACTACTGATGTGGGTAAATTAAGGCTCAGAGAATTCCACATTGAAAATCTCACACTACCCAACCAAAAATTGATTGGGATGATGGAGAAGTCGATATTTCTGCTCAACTCGTCGATAACCTTCCGGAATCCCACAGTATGTTTGACGTGACTGTGATTACTACTCCAACGAAAGTTGATGAATGGGTACAGGTCGTAAACAAGAAACGACATAACTATATAAAATAGAATTCAACTCGTCAAAAAGAAGTCATGAAATCAAAGACTGACCACTGTGAAAGGTCAGTTATTTTTCATAGAACTGAGGACAGTAAAAGCTGTGAATCTAAAACTCGTTTTGAGCATGACATTGGGTTTATAAAATAGCTACTTAATCAGCTTATGCCACAGGATATCTCCGCGGTCACTTTCTGTAGGTGTATAGACTGGGTGGCTAAACGATATCAAAACCAAATCAAACTTACTTCCTTACGCCTGTTAATCCTCGTGGATGAGCATGGACCGCACACTAGTTTTCTCCATCCCACCCTGTCCTGGTCAATCCTTTCCAGTTCGTTCCACTTAACATTCATCTTTTTGATATCTACTTCTATTTCCTGGCGTAATGTTTTCTTTGGCTGTCTCGACATCTGAAAGCCGAAAAATTCCTTGTGGACAACCTATCAACTCTGGCTCCTCTGGAGAAAAGCAACCACGCTGTTGTAGCCTTCAGTTTTGTTAGCAAAACTGTTGGGCAGAATACAAACGAAATGATAACAGGCAATACCAACATATAGGGAACATATGCACGAATGCAATAAGAGAAGACAGGCTTCAGCACCAGATAAAGCTTATTGATAAATTTGTTTCCATTGCAGAAAGCTTATTCCATTATGCGGCTTCTCCTCGACAAGCCGAAACTGGAGTTTCCAAACTGTTAGATCCTGATGGCCCGACCAATAATGACGGTGATGCCGCTAACCTTTTGGCTGAATAATACTCTGATTTTTTTCAACCGACCCACATCAACTATACTGCTGAAAGCTTCATTCGCGACTGCACAGGAATTTCCGAAGTGAACCTGAGCGCTGATTTGGTGTTCCAGAAACTGCAGCATCTAAGAAAAGACACTTCTCCTGGCCCTGATATGGTTCATTCTGCTATACTAAGGGAAGCAGATTCAATCCTGGCAAAACCGCTCAACGTGATGTTCTCACACTCGCGAAGTCGAGGCAAACTACCGGAAATTCGGAAGCTGGATCGCATCGCACCAATTTTCAAAACACATCGACTCAGCGAACCTTCAAGTTACCGACCAGTGGCTCTTTTATCTATACATTCAAAAGTTATGGAGTCCCTGATATGCGATTGTATACACGACTATTTATTATCCATAAATGTCTTCTCACCTAAACAGCATGGTTTCAGGAGTGGTCACTCTTGTATAACCAACCTACTGGCTGCCGTGGACGGATGGACAAGCATCCTTGATAGCAAGGAGAAGGTTGACATCATTTACCTTCATTTCTCAAATGCTTTTGATAGGGTTAACTATATATGCTTTATCAATAAGCTCAGACGATTGGGTATCAAACCACTTTTAATTGACTGGCCCACCTAATATCTACAAAATCGACATTCTAAGGTCAGGGTCAACTTCACTTTCTCCCAGGCTATGGAATGTCCTAGTGGGGTCCCCTAGGGCTCAATACTAGGACCTCTTTTCTTCTTGATTTATATAAACCATCTTTCACAACATGCTTCGTCTGACTTATAGCTTCTTGCTAATGATGTGAAACTTTGGACAGAGGTCCATTTTTGGCGTGTTGTAGACCACAGCTTCAAAATTAAGAACTTCTCTCAGAGGTATCCCAAGTTGAAAAAGATCTAGGAGTGTTGGTACTCTACGATTTGAAGTCTTACGCTAACTACAACAAAATTGTCTTTCGAGAAAACCTTTCACTGGTGACATTGAAGCACATTTTTGTTCAGTTTGACGGAATAAACATAGTATTTCCTCCCTTCCTCCAAAAGGATAAGGACATTCTGTAACGTATCCAACGTCGAGGCACGAAATCAGTTCGGGGACTGAAATTCAGACCTTACGAAGAGCGCTTCCAATCACTTAACCTTTACCCGTTAGGCGTCTTAGAGGTGACCTTCTTATGACTTACAGTATCCTTAACACTTCTGGTCATCCCCTTAAACATCTTCTTAAGCTTAGTCACAACACTAACTTGAGAGGTAACACCCAGAAACTGGAGACCCAACATAGCAGAACAGACTGCAGACACAACCTCTG